AATATCTCTATGAGTCAGAATTGATTCTATGGCAGTTTTTTTTTTTTTTTTTTTTTTGGTTTTAGGTTAAAAAATGGCCAAATATTTATGTTTGTAATATTAAAATTGTTGAACTCATCAATAATATTTATTAGCAACAATAGACACACAGTTGGGTCAAATTGCTCTGCATATTATCACACATAAAGCCAGTCTGATGATTTAATTCAGTTTGAAAGATCCCCAAAATGGTGTCTGGTAAGGAAATTTCCATTCAGAATATGACAGAATTTATACGTTTTTTAACCAATTGTTTTAGATAATGGACCTCCAGTCCCTTTTTAGACATCTTAAGACATTCAAACCTCAACTTGAGTTTCGTTTTATTCCATTTTTCTTTAAAGTTTGATCCCCTATTAGACTTTATCAATAGTTTCATTCTCCTGCAATTTCTTTAGATTTTAGAAACCAAGTGGTGACATCAGGAAAACGTGATCTGAGGAAGCTGCCTGGCCTTCTTTGAAGCAGTACATGCTCCCTGGGGCTATAGGAAAAGGCATGCTAGCAGATATGGCGGGATGTCTGCAAGTGACTAATTCAAAGACACTTTTGATGCATTGCTATTATAAAATGACATTTGAAATGAATGCATACGTTTATTCATCTTTAATTTCTTCTTATACAAGAAAAATCAAAATTTTCTTTTGCCATTATAATGATGTGATTAGTGACATAAAATTCAGATTATACTGTTCTGATGTCAAAACACAAGAACATGGTATTTAAAGTATAAATACATTTTTAAAAATCTGAGAAATGACTTAAGAAATTAGAACAGGTAATACAGGCATCTAATAAGACTTACTCTTTGGAAAAAAAAAAAATCATCTTTAAAGGTTCACAAAGCATCCTGGATTTTAAAGGAACTTACTGAAATCACAATAATAGAACCTTCCAGGGGGTTGTTATACTTAGGTAAAGTGAAAAAACTACAAAGGTAATTCTTTCTACTTTATAACTCAGCATGCCAACACACCCTTTGCTATCTAATGGGAATCTTTGTAACACATATGAGCACCTTGTAGGGTATGACATTTTTTGTAATGGAATTTTTTTTTTAAGCCACTGATTATGAATAAGGTGTAAAGGAAGTAGAATGGAGGTAGAGATTATATCTTTAATTTTTAAACGTAATGCTACTGTTTTGGCAAACTTATGAGCCTAATAGAAAATATAGTATTTCATAATAAAAGTAAATATGACTGCTTTCATCTCCAGAATATGAGTTTTTGTGTGCAGCTAAAATCAGTTGAAAAATGGAATGAAATTATATTAAACTTGCACTTGGAACATAGTTTTTTTTTTTCCTTTCTTGCTATTTTAGCTATTTTGAGAATGTTTCATATTGAAAATTTTCTGATAAGAATTAAAATAAAAATCAGTTATTTTAACTTTTCATCCAAAATATGAATCTCAAAATTTGAAAAGCATAGCAGGATAGAGTAATAGCCAATGGGAGAAATGTGCTCCATTGTGGAAGTGCTATTATTTAAAAACCTCATGTCCTTTATGGTGATATGAGTTGAGTTTGATGTCTGGCTGGAAATTGAGGATAATAGAATTTTGACAGAACCTTATCTCTCCCTTTGGACTTTGGAACTCATAATATATTTTTTTGTTCAAGTTGTATAATGTTCATGTGTGAAGTCCATTCACATATCTAAGATTTTAATTGGTTGTTGCATTTATTAGGTAGATTTATGTAAGCAAAGTCAACTAAATTAGATACTGCTGTTAAACATTGGTAATCACACATTTTTCCACCCCAGAAAATGCATTTTAGATCATTTTAACCACTGTAAACATTTTGCTGGCAGTTTTTAAGTGATCTTTCCTGAAGAATTTTTTTTTTTTTTTTAAGTGCAAGGGAATTGGGCAATATTTGAACATAGGGTAATAATTCATGCCAATTATATTGCAAACCATAAGGATGTGGGCCAATATTGTGTCCTAATTCATACCTTATGGTCTGATGGCAATTAAAATAACATTATTAAATATTTTGCATACATAACTAATTGTTGAAATCTTATGTGGACTGACATTCTAGTGCTTCATTATGCTGAATGGTGACTGTGTTTATTTTCTTGACAATGGTATAATCATTACAGAGCTATTATTCTCAGACTACCTTTATTACACACACTGGCTGGCACTCTGTCTTGTATCATTACGACAATCAATACTATTACTGCTGCCATAGATATTGCTACTTTTTTGTCTCTGCTAATTTTATCATGTAAATAGAAGAGGTACAGTTAGATAGTTTAAATTAAGATGAACACATGTCTGAAATCATTCTCTACATGGAGTAAACAAATTAATAACTTGAAGATAGTAATTAACAGTGGCTGTCAAATTAATGTTACTTCATGGCAACTCCATGTGTGTCAGAGTAGAACTGACGAAAGATTTTCCATAACTGATTATTGGACATCAGTCACCAGCCCTTTCTTCTGAGGTGCCTGTAGATGACTTCCTAACTTTCAGTTAACTATTTGCACCACCCATGAAATTCTAAACACAAAACATAAATTACATAAGAGACTGTGTTTTAAAAACTTTATAAGGATTGGCTTCTAGTTCCTGGAGGCCAGTGAAGGTAAAATGAGACAGAGTAATTACTAGAGAGAGAAAATACTTAATAGCATCATGTTCTTGGTACCTCTAGTAGAGAAACTGCTATGTTCAGTATGTTGTTGTTGTTGTTAATTGCCGTCGAGTTGGACCTGACCCATTGTTTCACACACCTGTGTATTCAAAAAAGGAAAGCTAATTTCACATTTTAAAGGTATATTTTGATATAATCAATTGGATTTTTTAATATCATAGTTAACGTGGCACGAACTTTGAAATCATAAAAGTATGAGTTTGATTCAGCCTTTAAGCTTCAGTTTTAATATCAGTAAAATGAGGATAATGACTACATTGTAGGAATATGCAAGTTTTGGGAATAATACGTGCAAAGCATTTAGAAGAACTGTAGCAAGCACACAAAAAGTTAGAAGAGTAACAACAAATATTGTGAATGATTACGCAATGTGATAATCACTTCTGAATTCAAAGGGGTTGGACTGGGGTGGACAGAAAGTATTCACTACAAAATAGTGAGTATTACTGCTTCTATATACTTGAAACAAGTTTTCAGCTGATGTAATGCTTTAACACTTCCCTTTTTACTCTCGTATAAATAAATAGATTGTGGGGTGAAAAGAAGTTCAAACTTTTAATTTAATCGAGGGTATTTGGTGGCTACAACACACAAGGAGCTGCCCCTGCTGTGGCTGAGGAAGGTAGATACAAATGGCAAGTTGGCCTGTTCTATTTCTTCATGGCAGAGGTTTAAAAAAAACATCGCCCTTGAGTCAATTAGGTCTCACAGCGACCCCATGTGTGTCAGAGTAGAATTATGCTCCATACAGTTTCTAGTGGCCGATTTTTCAGATGTAGATCACCAAGCCTTTCTTCTGAGGCACCTCTGAATGGACATAAACATGCCAATCTCTCAGGGAACAGATGAGTACGGAACTGTTTGCACTGTCCAGGGACTCCAGAAATCAGAGCGATAGGAAAGAAAAAGTCAGGCAGGAAGTCTGTTGCCAAGCTGGAAGTAGTGCAGAACCTTCTTTTGTAAATGCTGGATGGTATCAATACTGTTGCCAATTTACCACTAGCGTGTGAAGCTTTCAAAATGCTATGAAGAAAAACATCTTAAAGAAGGCTTGGTGAGATCACTTAACTGCTCTTATTTATCTGATTGGAAAACAGAAGTGTTCATGAAAGACAATAACACCAAAGAAATAAACAAAACAATAGAAGAAAATTGTTGTACCCTTTTATTGGCACAGTTTAAAGGCCGGTATGAAGAAAAAGTTCCAAGTAGCAAGACATGATACTGTGGGTGCTGTTGCTCAGAACTTCCTGACATCCAACCAGAGTACATCAATAAGACAGGCCATTGCATTACAGGAGGGTGAGGATATATAGTAAGTGAAACATGCAATATGTTTCTGGGAAAACAATTGTCTTCTGATGCAATTGTTATTGCTCAAACCAGCAACTCTCAGTTTACTTATTTGTGTTGTTTATAGCTTTGAATGAATATGATTCTTTTACACAACCAGCTATGAATTTTAAGCCATACATGTTTAACTGAGTGCCTCATCATTTCCTGTAACCTAAGCTGAAGTCCGGAGATGAAGTTCAATTAAAGAGTTCACAAACCACTTGTCCAGAAATACAGAACATAGGAAAGAACTGCCTCCTAATCATCAGAGGAAATATAAAGCATTGGACACATTCCATACTTTTGCAAGGAGTGACACTGATGAAGCTAAAACAACAACATAGCTTGGAGATTGTTAGGTACCTCAGGTTAAACAAACAAAATGTGTGGACAAAATATTCTAGAATTTTTTTTTAAACCTGTATTTTGAAGAAAGGGAGCACCACCAGTTGCATAAAGTTATAAAATACAGTAATAACCATGTAAATAATTATCAGATTTGTAATTCTGATAAAACAGAAACATCTACAAAGAAATACAACATATGTACTGTGTAGTGTATTATAATAAAACCATTGGAAGAACAATAAACATATTGTTGAATTCTATAAAAACAACTGTACAGTGTGTACAGTGTGCACACGAATCACTCCTTTCCCTCACGTTCTATTGCCCTCTCTCATCTCATGCACTTTTACAGGCCTTTTCTCTTGCAACTTATGAGTAGCAAGGCCCTATAAACATGGAGCCTGGAAATCAGAGTGTTTCACCACAAAATGGATAAAAAAGAACACACACATACATACACACAGGGGATTTTGTATATTTAACTTCAATGTCATGTGCTTGTCTGTGTAATGCTTGGAGAACCCAGCATGTATCAGAAGGCAACCTGCTGTTGGTGCAGCCTGGAATCACTAGGCAGTTTTATTTTGCGTCTGCAATTCAGACCACATCAAATGGTGGTGTCCCAGAGCTCTGAAGGCAGCCTATTGCATGAGGCCCCTTCGGGCTTCTTCAGAAAAGCTGGTTTTTTGCATGGAGGTGGGGGAGGGGCCCGGGGTTCAGGGTGGTGTAGGATTTGCTGCCAATCTTCTCTTTCCTCACAGAGCTTTCGCCTCCAGTCCAGGAGTTCCTGCAGGGCCACACTTTCATTCTCTGAAAGCCTCAGCTGATGGATTACCTGTTGGAGGAAAGAGAGAGAAAAAAAGAGTAACATCAAATATTGTGAAAGCTTGAAATATGGCAGCCATACCTGGGTGTAAAAGGGCTGGATTGGGGTTCAAAAAAAACAGCATTTACTATAAAATCTCTTGGTATTACCGCCTCTGGAAATTGCATCAAACTAGTTTGGCTGTTAATTGCATTAAAATGCAACAAAATACTGAGGAAGGCAGTACCCTGGTTAACATGTGTTAATACATTGATTCTAACTCACGGTAACCCCATGTGTCAGAGTAGAATTGCGTTCCACACAGTTTTCAGTGGCTGTTTTTTTCGGAAATCAATCACCTGGCTTTCCTTTCAAGGCATTACTGGGTGGATTTGAACCGTTGTTTGGGTTAGTGGTGAGTGCGAATGGATTTATAGCATCCAGGCACCTTCACTTGTGATACTCCTTCAGATTGTACAAACATCAAATGCTTATTTTCTCTTTGCCATCTGTGATTTACATTCTTATCGTATCTTTTCCTTTTTTTTTTTTTTTCATTTAATTCACCACAATTTTAATTCTGCCTGTAACAAATTGGATTTCTCAAGCTCCACCCCATTCTAGGAACTTCACCTCCATCTAGCTACATAATTACTAATCAAACATCATTTAAGGCAACATGATTCCATTCCTGATCCCAATCCATTGAGCCAAGGCTGTACACCTTACCCAAGAAGGCTCATTCATAGCTCTTGAAATATAGCCCTGCACCAGTATAGAAAATGTCTCTGAGAGTTAGGTTCTGCAATTGACAGGCACCAAAATATAAAACTAGCTTAGTCAAGTGGGGCAGCTGTGCTTGAGAACTCCTCCTAGTCAAAGGTAACTAGCATTAACATTTATTTTGTGGTAGTAAAGCTAAGCAGTGGGCTAAACTAGTCCCCATGTGCTCTCTCTCATAAGTTGAGCTTTCAAACGCTGGGGATTTGGGGGTTTGGGTAACAGAGCATCACAACAGACAATTGTGTTGGCTGCTTTCTCTTGCTTCAGTTGTTGTTGTTGTTATGTACTGTGGAGTCAGACCTGACTCATAGCGACCCCTCCTTGGGTTTTTGAGGTGGTATCACTACAGAAGTAGATTGTCCAACCTTCCTTCCGAGGAGTGGCTGGTGGGCTTGAACCTCCAACCTTCTGGTTAGCAGTTGGGTGCCTTAGGCACTACACTACCAGAGCTCCTCTTGTTTCAGTATCCTAAATCTTTGTCTACCTCCCTGAAGTCAGCTAGAAATTAATAGGACAGGAGACAAGGGGTGTAGAGTGCATCCCTTTCTGCTGGCAGCCAGTAATCTATGACTGCTGCACTTTGCAGAATCCAATATTTTCTGTCAATCCAAAAGGCATGTGCTGATTACAAAAGTATGAGATTCTGGAAATCAGAATGGGGATAAGGGAGAGAATTCAGAGATATAATGGTTAATCCCATTAGTAAAGCATCTATTACTTTTTTTTTTTTTTTTCCAGTGCCTCTTCCACCTTCATCAGAACCCTTTCAATTGAAACAAAAGGAAATGAAACAAAGTGGAATGTAAATGGATTTACCTCTTGTCTAGAGAATAGTCATTTGAATTCAGCAGGAGCAGTTAGTGTTCTAGGACCAATTCTAAAAAAGACAGCTTCAGCCTTGCTACCCAAGCCTATTGTCTACCTCAAGAGGCCTGCATAAAAAGGATGGGCAGGTGGCTAGTTATAGTGTTAAATGACAGAGCCATGAAGGTCAAGCTCATACCCAGAATTGTTTTTCCAGTTGTCATCAGGTGATTCTGACTCATGGTGACCTCCTGTGTGTTAGAGGAGAATTGTGCTTCATAGGATTTTCAATGGTTGTTATCATATGGAAGCAGCTTGTCGGGACTCTTCTGAGATGCCTCTGGGTAGGCTTGAACCACCAACCTTCAGTTAGCAGCTGAGCACTTGACCTTTTGGTCTACCCAGGGATTCCATATCCAGAGTCATAACTACATTTCTAGAATTGATCATTAGCAAAAGGAGTGCCCAAATCTGAATTTAGAGACAACCAGGAAAAAGACAGAGAGAGAGAGAGAGAGAGAGAGAACACGACTAGTTTGGAAAACAAGACTTAGTTGCTCATAGACCAATCTCCAGGTATCAATCCAAAGCAGTATATCAAAGCTAAAATAGTATGGGCCCATTAATAGGTTTCTTTGTTTGTTTGTTATTTTTCATTCTGTTTCTGATTTCTAGGGCTGCACCAGAATGATATTGGAAATAAGAAATTCTTCTGATGGGCGGATGCTATGGAAATCAGATTGTTTCTAGTGTTAGGGAAATTAAGGAAATGAGCCAACAAAGTGGAGTGGGGAATGTGTATGCAAAATATGTGTCAGGTACTCTTTAAGTGATTTACAAAACATTAACTTGTTTACTTCTCCTAAGAACCCTACGAAGTAGGTACTACATTTCACAGATGAAGACTTTGAGTCACAGATAGGTTAGGTAATTTGCCCAAAGTCACATGGAAAATGGTGGAACTAGGATTTTAGCTTAGACAATCTGGCTTCAGAGTCTGTGTTCTTACCTATTACCATAAGAATTTATCATTTATCTTACAGTAGCTTCTCAGAAGCGTCCTATATATGGTAAAGACCAGGATACCCTATATCATGTTCGTTTCCTGTCCTGATTTCTCTAAGAGGAATTTTAATGATTATTATATCTTTCCTCCACTAATACATCCTAGTGTATGGTGACGGTGATTACCTTTAGCTTTATTCTATGGATATCAAATATTTGTAGATAGGCTCTTTGGCACACAGCCAGCAAAGAAGCCATTTATAAACATACTGTCATTGTTATTTTTATGACATTTACTTGATGTAGGAATCTCTCTACCATCTCAGCTGATTATTTTTCCACAATTTCTTGAGATAATGTATTTCTTCAGTCATGCAGTTTTATATTGATCTATTTAGAAAACAAAGCAAGGAGCTTCTATTTCTGGATTGTTTTTGTTGTTATGTGTCATTGAGTCGGACCCAAGTCATAGTGACTCTTCCTTGGGTTTCTAAGGCAATATCACAATGGAAGTAAATTGCCCAACTTTCCTTGTGAGGAGTGGCTGGTGGGTTGGAACCACCAGTCTTCTGGCTAGCAGTCAAGTACTTTAGGCACTATACTACTAGAGATCCACTATTTCTGGACAGGATGTAGTAAGTCATGGTAGGTGACTACTCCCATTGTTAAAACTAGAAACAATGCATGAATTACAAAAAGTGTATTTTTTAGAGTATTAAAAAGTTTGGAAAAACTAAGAAGTAGAAGAACTAAAATGCTAGATGGGGAGAATTTTTCCAAAGGTGAACTGAATTTAGCAGTTTTTTTAAAAAACTACTTTTAGAGGATTGGCAATTTCTAAGTTCTTTTTTGGGCCTAGAGAGATTTTTTTCAAGTAGAAAGAATAACCAGAAAATATTTTCTAGTGGAATAGGACTAGAGTAACAAATTGGAAAATTGAAGATACCCAAATGCATGGCTGTTTTTCCACATGGGAAATTTGCCAAGTTCTTCAGTTGTACAAGAAAATGGTGCTTTAGGTGAAAAACTTATGAAAAAGACAGTAAATCTCCATCTCCTATAGTGTTGGAGGAGCTCTAGTGGCGTAGTGCCTAAGGCATTTGACTGCTAACCAGAAGGCTGGAGGTTCAAACCCACCACCCACTCCTCAGAAGGAAGAGTGGGTGATCTATTTCTCTATAGATACTGCCTCAGAAACCCAAGGAAGGGTCACTAAGAGTTGAAATTGACTCGATGGCAGTGAGTTTGGTTTATTTTTTTTCAGTGTTGGAGGATCTTTGGAAGCAAAGACTAGGCAAAGGAAATGATGGACTCAAACACATGACTGGTGGCATCTTCAACACATTTTCCACATTTTGAAACTGAATGGGGTGTGAGTGACTAAAGCTGCTGCAAGATTTCAGTGCTGAAGAGATAAGAAAATATTACCAATAATCAAGAAGGAAACAGAGTCACTGATGATCCAGATATTGGAGTTAGCAGATAAAGACTTTACAATACCTATGATTAAATGTTTAAGAGATTAGAGGATAAGATGGACAGAAGGATGGATAGTACTCATTAGAGTACTAGATTATACAAGGAGAATCAAATGATCTGAAAAAGTAGTATTTGAAATTAAAAAACTCAAGGGCCACATTTAATAGAGAAATATATACAAAAGGAGGAAAGAAGTAGAAAAAAGATCATGGCAAACTAATATCCAAAGAGATAGGTTTGCTATTTTAAAGAGATAAATAAATTCAAAGAGATTAGTGAAAGACATAAATACACATATTTAAGACATTCAGCAAACTACAAAAAAGAAACCCACATGCAAAAACAAGCAAGTAAGCAAGCAAGCAAAGAAAGAAACCTCTGGTCAGATCATGGTGAAAATACTGAAAAACAAAGAGAAAGCTTTAAAAATTCAGAAGAAAAAGTCATATTGCCTTCAATGGAGCAATCATGAGAGTGAAAGCTGATTTCTTAACAGAGACATTGGAAGCTTGTTGTTGTTGTTTATGTTGTTATGTGCCGCCGAGTCAGACCCGACTCATAGCAACGCCTCCTTGGGTTTCCGAGCCAGTATCACTAGGGAAGTAGATTGCCCCATCTTCCTTCACAGGAGTGGCTGGTGGGTTTGAACCACTAGCCTTCTGGTTAGCAGTCAAGTGCCTTAGGCACTATGCTACCAGAGCTCCTACATTGGAAGCTAGAAAACAAAAAAAGAGAGACATTTTAAAGTACTGAAAGAAAGTTAGCCTGAAACTCTATACTCTAGGAAAGCATTCTTTAAAAATGAAAGTGCATTAAAGATTGTTTTAGACAAGGAAGCATGAGGATATTTGCAATCAGGAATTCTGTATTAATAGAAAGACTAAAGAAAGTTCTCAGGCAGAAGGAAAATGATAACAGATGGAAAATATGAGTTTTAAAGAGGAAATTAAGAACACTGG